TACTGGATAGTCTGACTTCCATGTGAACCACGAGCAGTAATTGCATTAGTGCGGTGTGTCCATGGAATTCTTACAACGCAGGAAAGACTTGTGTTCCAGACATGGTTTAAACATAATCAAGAGGAATCTTCGATTCTTCTTTTATGGTTAGGACCAGGTGTAGAAAGTTTAAAGAAATTTTAAAATATGGTTCGAGATAATCCTATCGTTAAGGTCCATTTCATTTGTATATCATTGGTTATGCCTATAAATATATCCTACATGCATTGTGAAACTGAGTTTCTCAAAAACTGGAAGTCAAGACTAATTCAGCATGTTTAATCATAGGAATTTACCTTGGCCTATCCATATACATAAGAGGCGAATCTGTCAGTCATTGTCAGTCATTCCGGGAAACTACTCCTAGACAGATGAATGGATTTTTAGGAGTGAGGAGTCAATCGAAAGCTTAGGACCTGGAGGCGATAATTATTGGGTCAAATGTCCAAAATATTTGCTGCGGACGTTGTTGCTATGCGTCTTCCTGTCTGTGTGTGCGTCGGAGGCCTGCACAGGCAGATCTTTTAGAGTTGAAACTCGATCAGCCCAATTCGAATCGCAGCCAGCGCCCTACCCAGAACTCTATCACCGACCGAGTTATTCTGATCCGAGCCGCGAATCGTGTTGGGATGATCTGGCCAACCGGCAGCCCGCTTAGGCCTCTGAGCTCGAGAACTCGAGGTCTCTGATAAAAACGCACTCTTTGGTGGAACTGCTCGGAATAAAGGGCATGCTATGGAAGCAGTGTGGCGAAGCATGCCTGTGGCATGGGAAACCGTGCAATCGCGAAGTCTAAAACTCATAAAAATACTCTATATACCAAAAATATATATCTTTCTTAGGGATGGGGTGTGGGAAGTCAATGTTCGCCCATCTCTCATCCTTATGTTAATAAATATACGTTATACATACAAGGTAAGGGTAGGGTCCATGTAAGGGGGTAATTCCGGGAAACTCCTCCTGGAGGGATGAAGGGATTTTCATGAGTGAATTGTCAATTAAAACCTTATTACCTGGAAACCAATCTTCATGGGTTAAAAGTAAAAAATATATATTACAATTTTCACGTAATAAAGCCAAATTTCGGCAATAGGAATAGCATTGTCCTGAACGCCTTCCCGGGTTGAGTGCTCATAATACAGGGTGGCCCATAAGTCGCTTTACCATTTAAAAATTGAATACATTTTTTGTTTGTTAATTTTTTATATTTATTTTTTTATAATATAAAGTACAGAAAATGGGATTTTTTAAAAATATATATGAAAAATGATGTCACGTAAATGACCCCCCTTTTCCGCTTCGCAAGCACGGGCTCTTTCTACGGCATTTTCCATGACGGCTCTTAATATGTCTGGCTCCAGCGCTTGAATTTCTTCCCGAATGTCGTCCTTAAGTTGCTGAATGGTCCCGGGCTTATTGACTCACCCGATCCTTCAGGTAGCCCCAAAGAAAAAAGTATGGTGCTGTCAAATCGGGCGAACGTGGAGGCCAATTGAAATCTGAATTTCGCGAAATTATTCGCTCTTCGAAAATCTGCCTTAGCAGCTGCATAGTGGCTCTGGCCGTATGGGTAGTTGCCCCATCTTGCTGCCACCATGTCTCAGGCATGTCCTCCACTGCAGGACGCACAAAATTGTCCTGCGTACGTACTGAACTTGATCTCCCGGCTCGTGGCAAATCAATAACAGACCCCTGTTGCTGGAAACGTTGAACCAAGTGACGTATTGCTGGTTTCGTGGGCGGATTCCTGACATGGAAATAGCGCATGTATGCTGTCTGTGTTAGAACAATGGAGCACTGATTTTCGAAGTAAAATTCAATTATTTTTATGCGTTGCTCCGTCGTGAATTTTTCCATAATAAATTTCCAAGGAACAAATGTTCAAAATCTGAAACAAAAATAATAATAAAATAATGGCAAAAAAGTCATTAAATTGTTAAATGGTAAAGCGACTTATGGGCCACCCTGTATAATGGCCCGGACCCGACCCGAAACTCAATTGCCGACCCGATCAATCCAAAGCCCGCTTTGGTCTTTAAGATTCAGAATTCGATGTCTCAGATTGCGTATTCGCTCCCACCCGTCCGAAAACTCGATTTTCTACCTTGCTACACGCCCGATCGGTCATATCGGTCCTATCGAGCCGATTCGCATCTCGGCCGAACTTAAAATCTTCCCATATTCTACCTGGGCTTTCCAAATTGGAAATGCTATATCACTTTGAGAATACGGAGCAGAACTCGCTAAAATTTTGCATACAGACGATTGGGGTTTCCCTGGTGACAGAATTATTATTGATTGAAACCATGTCTGTTTGAAATACGAGAGTTGTTTCTCTATGAGATGGAATTCACGGCATATTGTTACATGAGGGAACTTGAGAGCCTTTGATGACGGGAACCATTACCCCCATCTCCATCTGATTCCTGGGAGTTCCAAATTCATTCGGTTTGTCTCATTTGAATACTGTAAGTGTCGATCAAAAGCTCGATCACCCAGAGGCGATACTTGTTTGGTCAAAAGTGACAAAAGTCCCGCAATGCTGTCGTTATAGGGCCTAATCTCGGCGAAAAAAATAGCAATTAACTAAATGCCTTCCTGGGCGAAGTGCCCACACCCAAAGATGAGAGTACGAGGCATTGTCTGCTACGAACATTATCGCTATGGTATCTTCTGGCAATTATTATGTCATAACTCGTATGTCATGATCATGCCATAGTTCATATAAAAAATTAACGAGGAGAGAGCAGAAAGGCATTCATGAAATGCATTAATTCCCCTTCTTTTGAGCCCGTGCGTGCAATGGCTTTAACTCTAGTTCCATGGAAACACAACATCATGTATTCCTCCAATGATGATTCCTCTGATTCGTTTATTTTCACTTTTGTAGTCATTGTGTGCAAAAGTTGACATTAAGTAGTTTTGGTTTAGGTTTGATCGGACTTTCTGCATCAGATTTTAACTAGTTTCGGAAAGCTTTAGGAAATAAATAAGTTCAGGAGGCATGCATTTAAATATTCCAAAGGACCTCATAACAAATCCATAATCGGGTGCGTTGGGTACAAAGTCTCCCTTTTTCATTTTTGTCTTTGTATGGGAGCACAGGTTGCTGTTGGGACTCCGAGCGAAAAAAAATGTTGCTCACACTAGCTACCGGATTACCGATAGACTAGCGGTAGAGCAATGGTAAATTATCAGTATCAACTGGTGATTTACTAGAAAATTACCGGTTAATGATGCGTCCTTCAGTGGTGGTGGTACATTTATATCCATAACCGTGGAAATTGCCATATACCCAGCGATCTTCATCCAGGCTCCAGGAAGGTGGAGGAGCTTGTAGACTTCAAATAATGTGTTGAGACAAGATGTCACTCTCTTTGAGCTTTTCTATGGGGACCTGTGTCATATCTGGCTTTCCTTCACCATCTTGTGTTCAGTCTCACATGGAAAAAGACTCACTGTCTTTGTTTCTCCCACAGCTCTTCCAGTTTTATTCTTCAGTGATTCTTCATCATCTGCAGCGTGTCAGAGGTAACGAAGTTCATAATTCAAGTACGGGGCATGTTCAATAAATAAGGTAGCAAGGTCTGCTGCGACGAAGTTATTGCTTGAATCGAGTACTTGTCGCGTGGCATGGTACAGCGGTGCTGAGGGTTCTATTATACGTGGGGAGAGATCGCTGTGTAATTCTGCGCATGCATGACAAACCAGTTAAGATGGCAGTCCTCCTGAACGTTATCAACCATTGACGCGCGGGATGTTATTCAAGCTCTCCACCCTAGAGACCCCACAAGAGACGTTCATCGACGACTTCCAGGGCTTAATGGAGAAAATGTCCGGCCATTCGTCGTAAACTTCCCGGTCGTTTTCGTCTAGGATGTCATTTTGGTCCGCGAACATGCGCAGCCTCACACAGTCATTCGACCCTAGCACTGGTGGAACACTTCCGTTATGATTTCCAATTCCAGTGTGAAGCTGGTCCTCGACGAATGGCTTCTGAAAGTCTCTTCAGAGTCTCACAGTTGTGGGCATCGTTACCAGATTGCTTTCCTTCCAAGAAGTCGAGGAGCTTGCTTTGTCGGTGTTCATAAGTTTAAAGATTTTATATTTAGATTTATTATAGGCATCAACACTGCCATTTGACACATGCGACAGCCATATTACACATTGAAGGAACACAACTCCATTCTGAAGTCTGAATCTTCTGAAATGAATATGCGTGCATGCGTTAAAAATACCGACTAAATTATTGCGTTTAGAAATCCATTAACATCGCGAATATTGATATTTTATTGCTTAATATAATAGAAATAGTGATGTTTATTAGTCAAATGTGAGATATGCATAGGTCTGGATGTTTAACGAAGATTCCCATCGCTGTAATCATCTTCATCAGATTCAGTCATCTTTCATTTGGGAATTTGCAGAATTCAAAAGTTCAAAAAACACACGCACATGAAAAATAAAAGTAACAACATGAGTAATATATCAATGGAAAGCGCTCGGAGAGAGCTTTCATTTGACCCTAGTTACAACTTTTTATCTTGCCTAAAACGAGAAATACGAACCTCCAAAGTTGGCGAAAATAGGTAATTTTGGACTTTTCAAATTTAAAATTAAATTTACCTTGCATCCTAGTGCTAAAAATTTGCGTGCAAAATTCGGCAATATTTGCAATTTTGGAAATTGCGTTACTCAATTTGTAATAAATAATTCCGTCATTTTCGCGTTACCAGATGATTTTGCCTAATTCCACGATAGATGTTCCGATCAGAGTAGATAAACGTATTTTATATTATATTCAAAAATTTAATGAGAACGTTTCACTGGAAAAACTTTAAAAAAATGAATTCTAAACATAAATATTAAAGGCATCTACAAAAGTAAAACATTGCAACTGCATTCGATTGCGTAATTAAAATGCTTTCTGTTTAAAAACGGTCGAACTCATCCACAACCAACAATGAATTCTTGATCCATTCTTAGGTTCGCCAATCGGTGCGAGATGCTGATTCTGTTTTTGCATTCTAAAGATGTCACTGGTTATTCATCAATTTCCTGCGAGAATATGCACCGAGTTCATGCTTCCCCCAGTTCTTTTTTTCGTGCGATAAAGCAACAGGCTAGATAGGAGCGTTACGTGTGCATAAGATGGATAAAGCGTGATCAACCACACGACTATAGACTTTCCAGGGATCCGATGATGGAGGAAAACAAAGAAATACTCCACGAGGCCTTGAAAAGAGGGAGCGTTGAGGTCCTTGGAGAGAATTTGCCGAACTATCCTCTCCCGTTCAAGCTCATCAAAACTGATCAATTCAGTTTGGGCGAAATCGAAAAAAGAGGAATATGTTTGAATGTCATCCTACTCGGATTGACAGGAACAGGTTACCTATCATGACTTACATCATCGCTTCCCGGATAAATATGTTAGGCATGCCCTAAACTTCCTCACGCTCCTCTCTCTTACAGGGAAATCGCGGTTGTTGGAGGTGATTGGGAATTATGGATTAGGAGTGGATTATTGGGATCCTTATCGATTCCAGGTGAAGAAGGATGAACATACAGAGAAGATCACGTCCTACACTTTTTCCACTAGGTATGAAAATCGATTGCCTCTTCCCGTTACCATCATCGATACCCCAGGCTTCCTAAATGCGACAGCCGAGGATGACCGAAAGCTGATGGGAGACATCCGCAATTTCATCCATTCCAACCAGATGCCTATCCATGCCGTGGCATACGTCATCCCTGCCTCTCAGGTTTCTTCTATTCTCCTCTACCCTGAAACGCACTTCAGTCTGAACCAGCGTAAATGAGATAACGGGGCTTGAGAAGAAGTCCATGATATTGAATGGGTTGAATAGCTGAATTATCTTCCTACGTTCAGGAAGAAATAAGTAAATGTTACATTGGTGAGAGGTTTTCGGTGGAATTTCTTTTGCTACTCCCCGAGCCCAACCAATGGAAACCACATGGAAGATTTGCTCTGATAACAGACGCAATATGATGCGAGAAAGACACTATCATGCCCCATGTTTGACTCATGTGCATCAGCGTCCACAATATCGCATTTATCTCCAGATTAGGTTTCACTTTTTAATGTCATACCTTCGACTTTCATGGCTGTTTAGGCAGCTTCGTGACAATCGAAAATTATTGTATATTGTACTAAGGTATCTTTCTTGCTCCTTTGAGCAGGGGAGATTGACAGCGGAGCAGAAGACAGTGCTGTGGAACATGCCCAAAGCCTTGGGAGAAGACGAAGAGAGAATCAAAAGGATCTCGTATTTGTTTTGCACGTTTGCGGACAGCAAACTCCTGCCTGTTCTAGAATCGGTGAAAGAGGCGGGACTCAGATACAAGACACATTTCGCTGTTAACAGCGCTGCGTACTTCGTAGACGAGAAAGTGCTATCCATTGAGGAGAACAAGGAAAACAGAGAAAAATCCATCAACGAATTGCTGTGGACGATGACGACGGAGAGCGTTCGAGAATTCTTGGAGGACATTCAGTGCAATTGGCCCTTTCAGGTTAATCTGCCCATTAAGGCCTTGAAACCCCAAACAGGGGATACGAAGGAATACATGAACACAGCACCTGCACGTGCACCTACAGCAGGTGCAAAGCTATCCATAAGTATAGGTAAATTCTGAAGTTTCATCGTCCCATCGGAGGGATTGCATTTTCACAACTTCCTCTGTACAGATTACGGACGGAGTTCAAGTGATGAGAGCGACCCGTTGCTGAAGAGTTATCAGAGAAGTAATGGATCCCGTCGTAACACAGGCGAGCGCCAAGGTTCAGGCGCTCAAATATATTCAAACTGCAGCTTCGGCTGGTGGGTTCTCACCTGGCTCCTAATATCTAGTACGTATATTTTAGAGTACGAGGGCGATCGAACGATCAAATCCATGCCTTGGAATTACTTCATCATCTAAAGTTGGGGCTGACATTTTTCTCCCCCATGTTACACTACATTTCACTCATTACATATATATTTCAATGCGGTTTACTGCATTTACACGAGGAATGGATAAGCTTTAAAATTGTCTACTTACGTTTCAAATATCTTCAGTAGTTTCAAAAATTCGGAAGCTCAAATGAAGTGGAAAGAAAAACCGCACTGCTTTTGTGGGCAGTGAGGATGGAAGGCGGCGGCTGAAGGTGCAATGCCGTATGGCTCCTAGTGAGCGACCACGCAGTTTTTCTTTCCAGTTCATGAGCCGCGGAATTTCTGAAAGTGTTGAAGATATATGAAAAGTATGAACGCGATTTTAAAGCTCATTCATTCCTCTTTCAAATGTCCGTGAATTGAATTGGAATTCATGCTGCGAATAGAATGCAATGTATTGTTGAAGACTGTCCAGTGTTTTTGGCCGACCATTAATAGTAACCTCGCTCAGTAATAATTAAACATTTTCTTCCACAAAACCGTTTTGAATGTCCCTTAAAAAGTAGTCCTGTTATATCAATTGATGAATTGAGTGCCATCCCAGGTAACTGATCATAAAAACACCGAATTAGAAAAATGTACGGAAAATTCATAGTCCCACGTTTGACAGTCAGATTTGGGTTATAAAAGAAATAGTCGGAGCCTAGCGATAGGCCGTTCACAGTAACTCGTGTGGCCAAATCTTCATTTGAATGTACCCTTTTGGAATTGCGTTAAGTCTAAAAATGGCTTCGACCCAAGCAACTTTCAGACATTAATGTAATTCGAGTGGATGTCAAGTTTTTGTTAAAATGAAGCCAAGGTGATATCGCTTTCCAAGTCAAATATTTGCGATGAATTTTTCCCTTTTTGATGCATTGCACAAATTTATTAAAATCTCGAGTTGAATATGAAATTGCCATCCTTAAAGTAAAAAACAAATAATGTAAAACAGTATTAGGATATGTCCCGATTTGGGCACCCTTAGGGTGTGCTGATTTTCATTTTCCTCCTCAAGTTCATCATTTATTCGTATTGACCCTGGTAAGCGGAGATGCTCATGACACGCCTTATCATGATGACGTTTTGCTCGTACAGGTTTTGATACATGAGATTCTATCATATTGATGAAATTGTGGGCAGAAGTGTTCGACTTCACGCCCATCGCAAGATGCAATAAATTATCGACATCACATGTCGATTAACCTGACTCTCATTTTATACTTGTCGATACATATGTGAACTTTGTTCACATTGAACAGTGTGACGCGTTTGGTGAATTTGGGTTTGGTGCTCATCATCATCGTCTGTCTTTGGGGCCTTCTAGTCATCATTCTCCTGTAATGTATCAAATTTGACGGCCAATGATCACGGCCATTATATCTCTTTTATTTTGTGTCAAATTGAATTTCCAATTGATTGGCATTGATCACAACCCACCCGACTAATACAAATTGAATAAATAGAGGAAATGGAATGACTATCTTTCATGCCGGGGTTCCAAGAAGCAATTAGGATTTTCTTTCAACAGCTGCAAGTTTTGCTCCTTCAACCCATTGAAAGCATCGGTCCTCCGACGCGTCTTGTGCACGCGAGAATCCAGCATGGAACTTGCTGTGCCCGCCTCGGGGCAGTTCAGCTCAGAATGGCGATTCAGCATTGATACTGCAAAACTCAATATGTATTTTAGTGCGGTTCCGAAGAAATTTTCCGATATTCGCATTGCAGACAATCAATGGTCACTCCATAAACTTCCAGCTGTGTTGCAATATATGCGACCTCACTTCGTGGTCATCACGACCGCCTCCGAAAACTTTTTTCTCAGCAAATCTCAGGATAGAGGAGTTTGACTCCTCCCAAAATCTATCAATTTCCCTAGTAGCACGTATAACATCGAAACAACATCGATTCAATGTTGATTCAATATCCGAACGTTCAACCAACGTTGAATCAGTGCTGATTCGAGTTATATGCTACTTCGGTTGCGTCTCATAAGTATTGGTTATTATGTTGAATAGTTCAGGAAAATAAATTGAACTTCTGCCGGAGTCTCACATTTTGGTAGGGAAATGCTTGAGCAGCACTAATTCTCGAAGGCACAAAAATAAGTCCATCGGATTCCGCAATTGCGATCGTAATTCCCCAAACGTCATGAAAAAAGTATGTGTACAAATTCGGAAGCGTGAACTGTATTACGAAGATACACGAAAAAACTTCCATGCTTAGTCTGGGTGCATTCCGAGCACCCTGCATCTGAGACAGCCTCGAAAGTTGGTAGGGGATCATATGTATTCCGCCTCACACGACACGGGGATTTCTTTTCACTTGAGGTCTGTGAAATTGTTTCCAAAGGTGGGTAATGGATTCAGGAAGAAAGACCAGTTGGATTACGAATAAAAGTCGCATAAAAGAGCCGAAGAAATGGAGAAATAATGATTTTAGCAAGGGGTATCATGGCAGCTGAATGACAATAAGGAGCTTCGCCAGGGCTAGGAGAGCTCGAAACCCCCTGGGCGTACCCTGCAAAAGAGGAAACGAACCCGTTCTCAATCTCAAAAAAAGAGAAAATTTCTGCACAAAGCGTCCCACATTGTGCCCTCTTGATTGGACGGTGTAGGTACATTTACGTGGATGTCGGGAGGAATGAAAAGGTCCATGCTCTCAAACCATTCGGTGCATCAGGTCAATCCTATAAGACCTTGGACGACACGAAGGTCCCTTTCACATAGGATTTTGTGCATTCTTCACAGGTTCTAAGGATAAAAACTCCGCCTCCTCTCACATCGCGAGCAGATAAGCTCAAAAACATGCCGTTCCTGGTATTGAAGACGACTAAAAATTGAAAAGGAATTTCGTAGTTGGTAGGATTCAAACCTACGCTCCCAGAGGGAATCTGATTTCTAGTCAGACGCCTTAACCACTCGGCCACAACTGCCCATACATATTAATCTGAGCACTTCAGGATTTGGTTCTTGAAGGACACTACAAGATATCGACTCCATCTAGAGCAGGGGTGTCCAAATTAATTTGGCGGGGTTCAAATGATTTAGTTCAAGTGTGTTTGGGGGCCTCACTGACGAACCTCAAATCACATACGCCACATTTTTCATGCAGACAAGTGAAATTTGCAGCAATTTTTTTAAATCAATTGTTAAAGAGGAATTCGCGGGCTGGAGAAAATGAATTGGCGGGTCGGGTCCGGCCCACCAGCCGCCAGTTGGACACCTCTGATCTAGAGTATTCTTAAGGTATCGCCGATATACAACACAGCTGCTTTCTGAATTCATGGACGTTGTCATCTTGGAGTGAATTAACAGTATTAACAGTATTAACGGTATTCTGACTTGGGTTGACGGGTCCAGTGAAACTCTAGGCAGCAAGTGAACGCAGCCACGAAGCACATCCGTGATCACCTCAACTACTAAGGGTGTTCGAATGAAATGACCTTAGACTAAGTGTAATAGCCATTGCCCCCTTTTAATTTAATCCCCCCGAGTATTGAGACATTTGCGGTCAGGTCTCTCACGATCATAGTCTTGTCGTTGCAAAGGTCGTTCCCAATCATCCGACTCCGTACACTCTCATCTGGATATATCCAATTTTCAGAATTAGGGCGCGCGGGAAGAGACCCTGAGTACTGATATTGTTTACGAATTCAAAGGGAAAGGTGGTCTGCCTATCGGTGTCATCACCACCATGATCGTTCTTCACAATTTTGATACTGTGATGTGAGCACAGTTCCTCTTCCAATCAGGACGACACATCTTCACTGACCAAACTGGAGTGCTTATTTCTGAGACACAGAATGAGCGGGTTTGCTTCTCACTTCGGCATTGCAGACCCTATGTCGTTGCCGAAACAGCTCGTTCACCGTATTATCTGCAATATAATCACTTTGAAAACCCACGATGAGCTCATATGGATCGCCCTGTAGGCCTCACCGGATGTTTAGAAGCATTAAGGACCATTATCAGTAATGTCAAAAATTGGGGGACCGAAAGGAAGCAGACGCGTTTGTGCTGTTGTACTGTCTCATAAACTCACAAATTGCGAGCGTTTTCATCTTTCCCATCGGCGGAAACTCCATTGGGTTCGAGTGGAACACCGTGACATATTTCATGACAGTAACCTTGCCGAAGTTTGCCTTTCTTCACTTCGAAATGAAAAGCCAGACAGTGCACAACAGAGCATTCCACATTCATTGGGTCGCGATCATGTGAAACGGCTGGAATGACGCTGAGCGTCCTAGCCAACGCAACTGGAGTATGGTTAAAGGTTTGCCGCGTACGCGCGCTGCTCTCCGTGCAGCGTTAATAGCCTAATGTAGCTCTGCAATTAATGCACCTCTCCTCTCTGCATTGATATCTTCAATTTGCTCATAATCAGTGCAGACTTACGCAGCCTCGCCCCTATTCTTCCGCGGGCGCATTACATCACATATTGTTAAGCTATTTAACACACCTCAACCAACTTTGGTCTAGCAAAGGCACAGGCTTGTAGGCAAAATCAGTTGCATGGAGCAGAGAAATGAATCGGGAAGACGAGGAGCGTGAGAATGGAAGTCCTTCTTCACTTCCGTGTACGTCATGCCGCGACCAACATGTACGAAGACAAGAATCAGATGTTTTATAAACGCACGCTTGTGTACGTGCCAGAAAGATCAGCATCTGATAGGAGGCTTTCTTCCCAGGCTTATTCCCCCATATATCATCACTCATGGAT